TTAATCCTTCCCGAAAAATACTACGGTGACAGTGATGTCATCTCGCCATCTTCTGGACATGGGGGATGGAAGAGATAACATTGCACACAAAACATCTTCAGCAGCCCCACCAAGAGCATTGCGTATCAAATGTGTCGATGCGTTCTCATCCACAAACGCAAATTTCTTTTTTGATTCATTCGTATCCAATTCTTTAAGACCATCACTAACATCTTTTCCATTACGTTTTCCTTCAATTAAAAGTCCCACAAGTTCCACCACTTCTGCATTTGACAATCTCTCCCAAAGTCCATCAGTCGCTAAAACCAAAAACTTATCGTCTGGTCCAACTTCATGATGCACCACCTCAGGTCGTGCTGTGACATAGGGTGGTGTTTTGAACTTATCATTTCCTGGAACTCGGCGTTTTTCTTTAAAAAATTTGGAGTAGATCGTTTCCTGTAAACTTCGATCCCACTTATATCTGTTTGAAATGATAATGTTAGCTATATTTCATACTACAAAGGTTTTAACCGATAAATGAAGAGAAATGACATACTTTGCATCACCAAAGGCACGAGATGGCTCCAAGCCTCCAAAAATCCTGCCGTTCATGATGATATTACTTTCTCCCGGATGTTCCTTTTCTAACCTCTTTACCTCATTTTCGTTTCTACCCGTTTGATCTTCACTCAATGGTAATGCTTTCCACTTTCCTGTTTTTTGATCTTTGACACCAATTACTGCTCTTGAATCTCCGGCGCAAGCGACGTATAGGTCATTTGTGGCAGTCTCAATATATGCCAGCAATGCACAGGAGCCTGATAATGCTGACAATAGATTTTCATCAATATAAGAAATCCCATCTGATTTATTTGGTGTATTCAATAACCTGTTAATCGAATGGATGACAATTTCATCGTCTATTTCAACGAATCCGTTTCGAATAGCGTTTTTAACCAATTCTTTTTTATTAGGAAACACCTTGGCATATTCGCCATATCCGTCGTATGCTTTGTTGAGCTGTTCTTTAATAACCGGAAC